GAAGATCCAGTCACTGGATGAGGGTTCATGACGTCAGTGGTGGGCGCTGTGAAGATCACAATGTGCTTATTTCTGCTGGAGATTCCCAGAAAACATGTGACACTCATCTCATTTCATTCACATCTGAGACGCGCCACACAACAGAGGAATGTGATTGTTACGTATTTATACAGATTTCTGTATTTTCTGACCTGAAGTCTGATGAATGTGAGATACTTAAAATACATTTATTCCATGCATGGATCATTTCTGACAGCACTGCACAAGCTACATTTCCTACATTTGTGTAAGAGCTATTATTAAAAACAAAAGTATTATCATTAAATACCTGTTTTTTATTTTACTGTGCGATAATATTAATAAACGAAAAATATTAGTTTTAATAATAAATTATAAATAATAATAACAATAAATATGGTTTATTTGACAGTGAAATTGTATTTTTGCAACAGTAATTCATTTCTTAATTGATTTTTTAAATATATTTCATAAATGATAATACAATAAAAAGATTAGCTTTAATAATAAATTAATAATAATAATAAATATGATTTATAGTCAATTATTTCTTAAGTGATTTTTGTTGTATATATTTTAGTAATAATTTTTATGTTTATAAATAATCTTATTATAATTATTTTATAATATTTATAATATATTTCTTAATTGATTTTTTCTGTATTTTTTAAATAATAAAAAATATAAATTTTAAAAATAATATTATATTATTATAATAATATTATTAATATCTCAGATGCAGTGAATCAGTGAAGTCAATGAATGTTTTGTTTTATATGTTTTGAAAATATATATTAGAATAATAGTAATAATAATAATAAGATATTATTATTATTAAATAGTTTTTATTTGACTGTGTAATAGTATTATTAAAATAGTAATATATTGTTAATAGAATTGTTTGCATTTTTTTAAATAACAAATTATTATTATTATTATTATTATTATTGTCTCAGATGCAGTGAGTCTCAGTGTTTGTGTGTAAAAGAGCATTAATGTGTTTGATACACCACAGAAGAAGAGTGTTTAACTACACAATTAAACGTTAGTCTCGTTAGAAGCTACAAACACATTTAGGTTCTAATTGCATCTTTTATTTTGAAGTGTGTAAGTGATTCATGAGAGTCGTTTGTGGTCATACGACTGATTCTCAGATGAGTGTTTCAGATCCTCATCTGTGAGCTTGAGCTGCGTCTTTATGAGACACAATTAAAGTAATTGACACTTAACCGCAGCTCATGACGAGCAGCATCGCTCTTCTGCTGCCCACAGTCCCACAGCACTGCGTTAGTCGCTCTCTCACATTCCTCATCAGCACAGCTTGAAGGCCTGTGACTCCAGAGGTCAAAGGTCAGAGAGCAGAAGCCGTCAGAGTAATTAGATAATGAGGCGTAATGACCTCGTGCCCCGACCGATCGAGTGTGAGTCACACTGTCTTCACTACATGAGCAGCTGCCTACTAAGGGAGCGTCATGCATGCATTTTCTGAGGAAACGTTTCATGTAGATGACAGTTCAGATTAAAGTACTTTATTGACATGATTGGCTTTGCATGCAATATTATCAAAACCTTTACATGACATGTACGCATTTATCAGTCGCCAACAACAGAGGAGCAGCATTGCATCAAAGAGCCACAGATATTCCTAATATACAATGCCAGGTTTAGTACAACTGGATTAGTACAAAACCAGTACTATAGCAATAACAAATGATACAGCTCTGTCTGTTTTATGGAAATGTGTTTTATGTGTCCATTATTTGCAGGTAAGCAGAAAAGTGAGTAACTCAATGTCTCAATGTGCAGCGTGATAGTGAGGACTGACTTGTATTGCACACATGTATGAAATAAGGATGACTAGATTCATCAAATAAATGGTTATTATAATGTGTGTTTATTGTGTATTTACTGCTGTACAAAACAAAAATAGCCTTGGAGGGCATTAACGTCAGCAGACAGCAGCTCTGATGTTATAATGTGAGGATCTAATATGCAGGAAATATTGGATAAAACGGTTCAATTTCATTAGAAACAGCGTGTTCTAGTGGATATACACAAATGGATAAAAATAAAAGTGCCAACAGGGGAGAAAATGCAAAGGATAATAAAGTCAAATGTTACAAAGTTTGGTCTGCGCTCATTAGAATCAAAGCAGGGGATAGAATAAAGGCTTCGTTGTGACGAAGGCAAGTCTTTTATTACCAGATAGCCGAAACATTTGTCTGTTTTATCCCCTGCTTTGATTCTAATAAAAGACTTCATGAGTGCAGACCAATCTTTGTAATGTTTGAAGAAATATGGCACCTAATTCAGCTCAAATAAATAGAACAGAAGCATAAAAACAAGCACAACACACAACAATAACCAAACTTAAAATCAAGCACAATAAAACACAGCAAATATGTATGTGATCCCTTGCTTGTTCCTGCTTTCTCTCTGTCCTGGTTTTGTAATATTCGTATTCATTTTGCCTCGGAAATGTTCAATAAAGCAGCAATGATTTTGGATTTATGTGGTCTCTTAACTCTTGTTCTACCTGTTATTCAATTTATCTTCTTTAACTATATAGCGCTTGAAAGCTGAAAAACGTAAGATTCGACATGAAGTCTGTGTTCCAATCAGTTCATTATAGCAGGAGTGATACTTCAAAAAGCAGAAAGAAGCAGGAAAGAGACATTGTTATGTTTGTGATCAGAAAAGTCTCCTAGGAAGTCCCATGATGCAGTGAGCAAAAGCATTCATGCAAGCAGAGAAAACCCAGCGGATTTCATCAGAGATGCCAGAAACAGAACCTGCTCAAACGTTTGTCTTAATTTCAAATCCTAGTATTTCATGCGGAATCGTTAGTCACTCTTGAGTCTATTTGGGCTTCTCTTAAACTCCAGGACTGTGCTGTAGACCAGGATTCAAGGTTCATTTCATTTGAGGACGTCTCGTTTGACTGCTGGATAATGCTGGTTATATCTCTGGACCTCTTTGACCTTTGACCCTGCCGCGTTTGGCTCTGCTGCTTGATGTTGCCTTTTAAGAGAGAGTGACATTAGCAGGTCGCGTGACCTTTGACCTGCCGAACACTGGGATCCTCAGAAGAGCACGATCACACTGGTGAAGTCTAGATCTTGAGTAGTCCATTCAGCGATAGTTCGGCGGAAATCAGTGAATTAAATCAGTGGCATTTGCCGTATGTATTGTTGATGATAATATCATAATTGTTATTTTAGTGATTGTAAACCGACATTGAGTGTCACTCACTTTGCAAAAACAAAACAACCAAAAAACCAAAACAGCTTAGAGTTTTTGTTTGGAAACCAATAACTCAGTTGATCCAGATTCAATATATGCACTGGCTTGAGTTTGTCTTGTATTTCTATATAATTAAGCTATATGTATCACATGAACATTACTGCTGATTTTTCTAATATCAGCACAAATGTTCATAGGCAAACAAGAAGTTAATACTGTTATATTTTAGACACAATATTGTCTGTTTTGTGCTTTATTTCACCAATGAAAATATTTATGAATGAATCAGCCATTTGAACGAATCAGTTGAATGAATGACTCAAGCAAAAAAAAAACTATTTTCAGGTTTAGTCTCATATTTAAAAGTAATTTCATATTTTAGTATTTTAAATATTTTAAAACAGTGTAAATACATGTAAACGCTGCTTCAGATGCTGCTTCTGCAGTGCAAAGATGGATTTTATTGATACTGATTTCATCTGATTGCTAACAGCCGATCGTGTTGTGTTATTCTAACAGAATGTATTGATTAAATGTAAGAATTGGACAAGAAAGATGATGCATAGATCTAATAAAGTTAGAAAACATGCTCTTATAAAGGTAATTAACGTAAAGTTCATTCAGTCACTGCAGTGAAGTGACCATCGCACAGAACATGAAGAATATTCTCATAAAAAGTAAATTTTGTGTAGTTGTTGTTAAAAAATCCCAGAAAATATTTTTTTGCATAAATATTTCTTGATAAAGTTTTTTGTCAATATCACATCATTAGCAGCATATATTCTTCTAGTATTTCTCTCTTTTTCGAGTATCTGACATCAGTATGACGCACTAGAAGAACCATTCCGTGACAGACAGTAAAATAATCCTCTGTAAAATTAATCTACTTCAGTTCTGAAGCATTATATATATATGTGTGATCAGCTGATAAAGTCACTGATTACAGAACGAGTTCAGTGATGAAAGGGCTGTTTGTGTCTGTTTGGCTCTTCTGTCTCTCATGGGGAAGTGCTGCTCTGTTTTTGGGTCTCAGTGTCTTGTAGACATGAATTATTGATCGTACACAAAGTGAGACGGATCACAGACCTTCAGTCATGTAATGTGACGTGTTTCAGAGTCAAACTGGAAATGATGTAGGTTTTATTTGATCTTTGAGGATTTGATTGGGCTGTGAATGTTGAGCTGTGATATTATTGGTTTATCTTCATTCCCCGCCCACACGGCCTTGATTACATCAGCAGAGAAGGACAGTCATTTAAAAGAGTAATGGAATGATTTTCGTTCACGTTGCGATTGTTGCAGACAGGTGTATTATAAAGATGCTGCTGTGTTTTAGGAGGATGTGATTGACAGCCGTCTGAATGTCACTCAGAGCAGGGATTTATGGGTAAAAACACTGCAGGGTTTTACTTCTGGAAGTGAGTTTGGACGAGCAGGAACATTTCACATTCCTCTTCATGGTAAACTATGCTGAAAATGACTTACATGATGTCATTTTGGTATCCCTGGATATTTGTCAAATATTCAGGTGTATTGTGTTTTATTTTTTCACAGTTCCATTTTTTCCCCAATTTATCTTTCCACAAATGTATTTTATTGATTAATTGATTGATTGACTCATTGCACAAATTATATTTAGTTTTTCCTTAAATTCTGGGTTTTTTTTTCATAAATTCATTTTTTTTCTAGATTCCGTTTTAATGGTTTAATGTAATTTGAATAATCAAAAAAAAATGCAATCATTTCAAGGAATTAAACTTCAGCCATTTCACATTTGACTTTTTTTTCAATAATTGAGCCCTATGATTTTTTTTTTCTTCCAGAAATTCTGTGTTGTGTGTTTAACTTTTCTGGAAATATGATTTGATACAAATGTATTATTGGTGGTAATCAAATGAAGGCATAAAACATGAACAAATTAAAATGTAACTTTTTTTTTTTTGCAAACAGAGTTGTACTGGTAAAATTAGCATTTCTTAAATCTTTTAATAATTGTATTATTGTTATTATTACTACTATTATTATTATTATTACAGTCTACTGTACAAGAGCAATACAATTCTGTCTTAATGTCTTTAAGTGGAATGGAAATGTAGCAGGTTGTAGTGAAGCTCTCAAATTCAGTGCCATACTCTTAAATTAGAGTAAATTCCTTTTTTTTTATGGCAGCTGTGCTATCAAGATAATCGATTTACTCTGATTTTGCTGTGGGAGCTGCAGTAACTGTGGTGTTACCAGGGTAAATGTCACTGATTCAGATTGATAAAGGACTGTCTGAGTCTTCAGAGGATGAAGCAGCTCTTCATGTTGTGCTCTGAAGATTTCTCCGCTCAGACCTTGTTCTCCAGCGCTTGTGGCTCTGACGCAGGTTTGATGATGAAAGGGGCCTTGGGCTCCGGATCTCCTCAGGCCCCTATGGGTCTGTGTGCTAATGAGGCCCCTGCCCATCATCCTCCGCTGTTATTCAGAAATCAGACACAGAGCCTCAGATTGGACTGCATTATTTGTCTTTCAGGGAAACTAAATAATAATAAATATCAGATCACCTCTCTCTCTCTCCTCCAGCCCAGCACGGGCTGCCCCTTCTAACCCCTGGTTATCCGATGTTCTTCGTGAGCATCGGACCAAACTCAGGGCAGCAGAGAGAAAATGGCGCAAATCAAAAGATCCGTCAGACCTGAGAATGTGTCAGTCTTTGCTTTCATCTTTCTCTGCTGAAGTCCATACTGCCAAATCTTCATACTTCCACAACAAGATCAACAGCGCTCCAGACACACGTAATCTCTTCAAAACTTTCCATTCTCTCCTCTGTCCCCCTCCTCTCCAGCCATCCTACAACATGCCCTCTAGACCCAATCCCCTCACACCTCCTCCAAGCAATCTCTCCTACACTTTTACCAACACTCACACACATCATCAATACATATCTCCTCACAGGCACCTTCCCCACTGCATTCAAGCAGGCTCAGATAACCCCACTGCTCAAAAAACCTACATTAAACACTTATCTTATAGACAGCTACAGACCTGTCTCTCTCATTCCATTCATATTGAAAACCCTTGAACAAGTTTTTTTTTTTAACCAGGTATCATTGTTTCTTTCACAGAACAACAAACTGGATGTTAACCAGTCAGGTTTCAGGAGTGGCCATTCAACTGAGACTGCCTTATTCTGCTGGATCTATCTGCTGCTTTTGACACTGTCAATCATCAGATCCTCCTGTCTGCCCTCTCTTCACTGGGCATCACAGGGGTTCCTCTTCTCTGGTTTGAATCCTATCTCACTGGTAGGTCTTTCAGGGTGCCTTGGGGAGGGGAGGTATCCAAAGCTTGCCATCGATCGACCCTGCCAGTGTTTGACCACTTCTCTTGTGAAATAAAGCTTGCACATGGATCCGCACGCCTCTCGTCTCGTCAGCCCCGTTACAGGCATATGAATATTGACATATGTAATTGCCCATATTTATTTGAATATATTGAATATTTGTCATAATAGCAACACTATGAATGTAATTGAATGATTTCACTCAATTAGGATTTAGGTATAGAATTTAATTAGGCCCACTTGGGCCAATTCTGGGGGGCCATCTTACTCCAAGGGTCCAATTTAATCTTTTTAGTTGAAAATTAAAGCTATAATTTTTACGTGTCCACAAATCCTACATTAACATATAAACACAAAAAAATTTATATTCAACATAAGATAATGTAATAGATCACTATTTTCCAGAGACCTGGATCTTTCAACCTCCAAACTGACTAAATCTCACAAATGTTGATATTCACTTGAAGTGACAATATTAAGAAGAGCTAGAAGAGAACTATTCATTAAAAGTTCTGAGATTAGATTTTGGGCTGAAAAAAATATGATGGGTGGGTCATGTAACTAATACACATGCAATATTTCTGACAGACTGTATCTGTTTGTAACTCACGATGTTTTCTGCATGTTCCTTCTCTATCTGAAAGTCTCAGAGCTCCACTTGTTTCCTTGGTGCAGGGAATGCAGATTGGCCTGTAGAGACAAACATGATATGCATTGATTCATGACACAATTTTAACACTTTTTAGTAGCATAAATTAATGCATGTCATGTTGACAAGCTGCGTTCCTCACCGAAGAGCAAGATCCATAATTACAGGGTTCTCCAGCTGAATAAGAGCCACGTCAAATTCATAATATTCAGGTATTCCCATGTTCTGTTTTGCTGCAACGTCATAGCTAGGATGAGGTATGTAATCTTTCACTTTTATTCCTAAGAAGAGAAAAGGAAACACCACTGATGAGGTTTACACCATTACATGTAAAAAAAAAGAAAGAACTGTATTCTAAATAATTCTAAGTATTACCTTTAATATCTGAACCCAAATCAACAGTTATCCTATCAGGTGTATCACCAAACCTGAAGCAGTGAGCCGCTGTCAAGATAAAGCTTGAGGTGACTAATGACCCCACACAATTTGAAATCTGTCCACTGTTGCGCTGCAAAATCATCAGAGAGGGACTAAATATTTAGTTGAAATATTTAACAAAGAATGTTCAAAGAACTAGCATGGTTATGCTAAGACATTTATTTGATTTATTTGTCCACATTTTAACCAGAAATAAGACTAAGATATAGAAATACCCACAGTCACACTGATCTTTGCCAACCAGGGGTATTGATGACGTTTGTGAGAATCAGTGCCATCATCGTAATCTCTGTAAAGTCCACATAATGTTACACTGGTGCCCTCATCTGTTCAGGCAAGGAAAACAGGAGAAATTTATATATTGAATATACTGACTGTGCTTTGCAATGGATGTGGAGGACAATAATTTAACTTTTTTTTAGCTTTTTACCCAACTAAGTGCATGTTTCTAAATGGAAAAACATAATGAAGTACCAATCATGCCGTCAAATGTCTCCTGCAAATCATCCAAGTTCTTAAGCTTGAAGAAAAACTTCTCGTTGCCCCTGTCAGTCTTCAAATCATTAATGTCCTCAGAGTTCACATCATCTCCCATTCCAAACACATACAGGTCTGCACAAAAAAGGTATCACAATAATAAAAAATAAAAATAAAAAAAGAATTGAGCTGTATTTGAAAATTTGCTTAAACTCAAAGATCATTCGTGTTCTTTCTCACCAAGGTTTTCCTCCTCCTCTGAAGGAGTGTTTTGTTTTACAAGATCTTTGATCTGGTCCACCCATTTTCTTGGATTACCACCCATGTTGGCCTGACCTAAAGAGTGAATCATAAAAGTGATCATTTGATTATTTTTTAACATCAAGAGCAAAAAGCACTTGAACAGATTCAGTGCTAACCACCAAGTATAAATATTGCTATTATTATTTATTTTTTTACGATTCCAAATCAAAATTGAAATAAACATCATCATTACCATCAGAGAACATGATGACGATATGTTGGGTCTTCTTGAATTCCTCTTTATTCCTCATCTGCTCTATTTGCATACTTTCTAAAATGCTCTTATAGGCCTGGGCGATATTAGTTCCTGTTCTATCACCTTTACCTGTTAGTCACAAAACCATCGGGATTTTAAAATATGTCCTTAAAGACAAGTTATGAAATATTTTACTCTCAGACTGACCACACCGAACAAACACATTTCAATTTTTGCTGTAAGAATGACCTTTAAATCAGATCTAAACAAAACACTTACTGTTATATTCATAATCCTTCAGTCTTTTAAGAATTTCTAACAGATTGTTTTTTTGCCCGCTTTTGAAGTCCCTCATGGAGACTATCCGTGCAACATCTGTGGCAAAAATCAGGATCTCATAGTTTGGGGAGACTTCGTAATAACTGATCTGTTGGTAATGATCATAGGTTCACAAAGTTTCATTATGAATATAAAACACGACATTAAGAGAAGATAATTGAATGGGAAACTAATAGTGTGCTAGTAATGGGACATAGGCAGAAATGTCAAAGAATAGATAGCCAAAGGGTGTGACTGTGTTGTCAACATACTATTTATCTCATATACCTTTTCTATAAGTGTTTTGATGACACCTTTTGCCTTTTCAAAGTCCTCTTCGTCTATGCTGTCAGATACATCCAGAGCAATGTAGATATCAAGCTTCCCCCCATTACCCACTCGTATTCTTTTTCCGTACTGATCTGAAGACACAGGGAACAGGTTTTATACAAAATAAGTAGTGGTAACCAAAAACTATATGCTGCCTTACAGAGGAAGAAGACGAGTGTGAGTTGCACAAGACTACCTGTTCCTTCATACTGTTGAGAAACTGCTAGATTTGACTTTAGAGAACTGCTGAAACCCTCTGATGCTTCCTCTGGGCTGTCGTATGTGAAATCAGCTGTATTTACACAACAACAACATTAGCAAAGCTGAATATGTACTGCATTGCACTTCAAACGAGTAAGATGAAAGGTTTACCGTAACATTGTGGCTCTGTTCCTGACCACTGGCCATTCTCCTGACAGACTCGCTCCTTGGAACCAATCAGAGTCAATTTATTTTCACAGCGGTACGTGACTTTGTCATCTATATTAAACATGTGGCCTGTTCTTGTAGAGCCAGCGGGAATCCCAGGATCAGGACAGTGATCAGCTGTTTGAAAAAAGGAACAGGCAATGGAAGCGAATGAGAAATTATGAAAAGCAAATTGTGACTCAATCTTTGCTTATTCTTCTAAAAGGGCTGAAATTGTTTATTTAATCTGTAGACTATTCATGAACCAGGAAATTGACAGCATTTAAAGACTTCCCACTCACAGTTTCTTCCACAGACTGGTGTGCCTCCACTCCATTTCCCATTCGCCTGGCAAACTCGAGTCCCCGAGCCACGGAAATCGTAGCCAGAATTACACGAGTAGTGGGTTGTGTCGTTCACAAAATACTGCCTCTGATATGGATACACCTCTCCATTTTTGAAACCACGAGGATCAGGACATGTGATTTCTGAGATAAAGGATTTTTGTGTGCGTGTGAGTAGCCTGTGTTGTGTTTTCAATTATGAATAAGTGTATGCTCATGTTTTGCTTACTCTTGCACTCTGGTTGTTTTCTTTTGGGCAACGGGTTCCATTTTCCTCTGATACAGTGACGAATCCTGATGGCTGGGTAATAGCCTTCTGAACAGTTGTATCTTACAATGCTCCCATCTTTTGAGAAAGAAAAACTCCCTCCACTAATACTGAGATTCTCATCGGGGCACGAAATAGAGGACGGAGCACCTATGAGAAATATAAGAGGGCTAGATGAAAAATTTTTTTAAAAAAAGGTGTTGCAAGAGTGCACTGTAAAGAACACAAAATGTTCTAACAGAAACTCTTAAAAATAAATGTTTCAAAATGGCCTTTTACGACAATGCCATAGAAGAACCATTCTGGGTTTAAAAAATCTTTTCAGTGAACAGTTCTTTCTCCTGAGACCTTGTGACCTTGAGGACATTATATTTTGGTGTATTTCTCTGAGACTATACATGCCACAGTTTGGATGTCCTGTACAGAGCACATTCAGAGTTTTTCAGAGATACTAAATGTTTGGATGTTTCACTATGACCACTCCCTCTCCTTTTAAGGATTTCTGGATGTCCTGTACAGAGCACATTCAGGGCTTTTCAGAGATACTAAATGTTTGGATGTTTCACTATGACCACTCTTGGTCTTCAAATATGTCTGATATTAATTTAGTGACACTCTTATGGAAATATGATAATCATTTGTAATTATCATTTAAATCTATCTAATTTTTAAACTGTCTGTCATAAATCAACATCTCAGGAAAATGTAATGGGGTTTCAAATCAAAATATGACTTTCTGTTACGAAACAGGAGGTTGATTTCATACATGTCCTCATATGAGGACACTGGGACTAAAAGCATGTTTATTAGCATTTTGGGAGACATAACAAATGAATAGGGAAAGAAATTATGTTTCAATATTCCATGAAATATTATATATTATTATGAAAATCTTGTCAAATATTACTCCCATTATTACACTTTCTTTTTTCATTACATGTTGCCCCAAAAACACATTAATAGGCAAATTAGATTTAGTTTATAGATACATTGTATATAATGAGAAAACCCATTTATGGCCATTTTACACACATTTTGCAGAAAGAAAAATGGTATATCAAATCATTGTTATAACATAGTTGAGAATCATCGTTATACAAAGTTTGCTAAAAAAATAAAATAAAAATCCTGAAAACTAAAATGTATTGGTGATTTAAAAAATCTATTGTTTTTGCCTATGCATGTTCATTCATGTTTTGTTTTTTTTAATTGAGTCCCGATGTCCTCTACCGAGGACATAGCATAACTTATGAATTAAATATCATTTAAAAAAAAAAAAAAAAAATGTATGCTCTAAACAATGTAAAGACATTAAAAAAACTTTTTTTTTCCTAAAAATATTTTCACGGGTCTTAAGAGGTTAAAGGGGTCATATGACGTTGCTAAAAATAACATTATTTTGTGTATTTGGAGTAATGAAATGTGTTTATGCGGTTTAAGGTTAAAAAAACATTATTTTCCACATACTGTACATTATTGTTCTCCTCTATGCCCCGCCTTTCTGAAATGGGTCGATTTTTACAAAGCTCATCGGTCTGAAAAGCGAGGTGTGCTCTGATTGGCCAGCTATCCAGTGCGTTGTGATTGGCCGAATACCTCAAGTGTGTGACGGAAATGTTACGTCCCTACCATACTTTGATGCCCTGTCCGGCCGGAGCGACGAGACAAAAACATTAAAACCCATTATAAATGAGGCATTTGTTGCATCCAGTGGGGACATAATTACGAATTATAATGACTTATACTGTCTTTTTACGCATTGCATCGCGCCGCGTAAACACAAAACCACGTCTGCATTTGTGATCGGAGAAATGACAAACAACAACTCTACACCGCTTAAAACTCACGTTTGAATTAAGTAGTTTCGCTTTCACAACGAGAAACACAGCGTCACACACGGCAGCCTTGAGTGAGCGGAGGCCTGAGGGCTAGAGTGAGCGGCAGCCGGCATCTAGAGTGAGTGACGACCGGCGGATACGACGGCGGGCTTGCGGCAACCACATGTGATGACTCCGGGCTGTACTCTGCTTCATCTACGGTGAAAGCCGATCCGGCGATCTACAGCACTAAGTTGATTTATTTCCTCAGCGATCAGCACGGATCAGCTCTAGGCATGACGAAGCGAATATTGTCCTCTTTTGGAAGACCAAACAAAGTAGTTTCGCTTTCACAATGAAACACAGCGTCTTCACGACATGGTGGCAGCAACAATACTACAGCCAGAATAAAAGTTACGCCTTCTTTCTTTGCATGAACATTTGGGCAGCGTTATGCAAATCTTCCCACACAGTGATGTAGACATGTGGGGGCATGTTAGAACGAGCCGTTTTAGGTAGGTGTGGTTGACTCTTAACTGTTATAAAGAATATCTCTTTGGATTTGAGACTTTAGTCTTTGCAACTTTACAGATCTTCTTTATGCACCAAGAGCTTGTAACACTCCAAAGAGAAATGAAAATTTGAAATCGCATCATATGACCCCTTTAATGTGAAGAACATTTTAATAATCTAAAGAACCTTTTTCCACATAAAGGGACCCTCAATGCCAATAATAACTCTCGGCCACAAACTTTCTTTTTAAGTGAAATACAAATTAATATTACTTTGCAAAGTTTTATCAAATCAGTTGTGCAACTTGTGCTACAAATTAAACAATGTACAAATTCAACAGTGCTACGCTATAAAAGATGTATGATGCTTGACATCACAATAAATTGTCCACAGACTAGTGATGAACTATTGCTTTGGACTATATGACTACAGACTATTAAATGTGAACTACTGCTGTTGTAAAATTAAAATGAATTGATAGTTTAATGCATTTATGTGTTTGAAGTTCCCTCAAATCAGCATTTCAGTTAAAAAGCAAAACAGACATTTTAATAATCTAAAGAACCTTTTTCCACATAAAGGGACCCTCAATGCCAATAATAACTCTCGGCCACAAACTTTCTTTTTAAGTGAAATACAAATTAATATTACTTTGCAAAGTTTTATCAAATCAGTTGTGCAACTTGTGCTACAAATTAAACAATGTACAAATTCAACAGTGCTACGCTATAAAAGATGTATGATGCTTGACATCACAATAAATTGTCCACAGACTAGTGATGAACTATTGCTTTGGACTATATGACTACAGACTATTAAATGTGAAATACTGCTGTTGTCAAATTAAAATGAATTGATAGTTTAATGCATTTATGTGTTTGAAGTTCCCTCAAATCAGCATTTCAGTTAAAAAGCTTAACTTTCTATTTATATTTCTGGTTAAAGCCAAGTCAAGAAGACATACCAGTTATAAGAGGACACAGTATGGCAAGCAGGAATAGATTCATCCATGGTTCACACTCCATGATGTTCTTGTCAGGTTCACACAGCAAATGAAACAACAACCAGAGAAGGACACATATTTATAGAGCAAAGTAAACAAGAGGAAGTGACCATGGACATGCACTATTCTGTCAAATACTTTGTCAAGGTAAAACTCACTTGATTTTTTTCATACATGGACCCTTAAAATCATTGATCTTAAAATAATCTTAAAACTGATTCTGAGAAATTATTTATTTTTCCTTAAACTACACTTAAAAAATTCTACTAAATTTTTTAAGGTAAGTGGTTGCAAACAATTAATTTTAGCTACAATTAAATAAAAAATGAGAGCAAAGTAAACAAGAGGAAGTGACCATGGACATGCACTATTCTGTCAAATACTTTGTCAAGGTAAAACTCACTTGATTTTTTTCATACATGGACCCTTAAAATCATTGATCTTAAAATAATCTTAAAACTGATTCTGAGAAATTCTTTATTTTTCCTTAAACTACACTTAAAAAATTCTACTAAATTTTTTAAGGTAAGTGGTTGCAAACAATTAATTTTAGCTACAATTAAATAAAAAAATGATGAAAGTTAGTCAAATAAATTTGTTTATTTAAATGTAGCTAAAATAAATTGATTGCAACCACTTATCTTAAAAAAATTTGTAAATTCAATGAATCATTTTTTTCAGAGAAAGCAGGATGGGCCAATAGGTGTTGGCTGAAATTTAGTAGTGTGCAGGGAAATTGCATTCATAGGCCAAGAGTGTTGCAATAATCTTCACCCCAAATTTCCATACAGTACTTCCCCTTTTAATGTTTCTATTTTTTCTGTCATCATGTTACTGTTAATGGTAAAGAATGTTAGAATCATGTTACTGGAAATGGTAAAGTAAGATTTAAAAGAGCATTTAAGATATAATTCAGTATGCTGTAGAAGGATGCAGATGGCGATTGACAGACATTGATTGACAATGGATGAAATGAAATGAAGTAAAGGATTGGGGGGGGGGGGGATTAGAAAAATGAAAGAAATGGGCTTTGGGATGTTTGACATATTATGTTTGGACTAACTAAGTGAATGAAGCAGCATTGCATCAGGATCTTTACTGATACTATCGTTTGTATCACATAAAAAGTCAACATTTAATAAGAGAAAATTGTCAGAATTTGACTTATTTAAAATAAATATTAATATGCATTTTGCAGTGTTAATATTGTCTTTGATGTTCATTTTATACAGTCCTTTTTTGTTGCTGTGGCAAAAATATACTGCAGTGTTTGATTCAGTTTTTTTGTAATTGTTGCGTTGAGAAATAAATAGTGCAGCACCAAAACCACTATGATGAAACCCTGCAAAAACCCCCTTTGTTGCAATCATAAACTATTTGCGGAAAATTGTTTCTGTTTCTAAATCTGTGACATATTTGGGACATTTATGAGTATAAAATTGAATGGGAACAGCATATAGCACATTTTGGAGCAGGTAACAAGAACTTTCTTGAAGAACAAGAACTTTTCTGTTCTTATTCTTTTCATACAAACTACTCCATTTTATGGTTTCATTTCTGCATATACTTTTTGTCCAATTTTATTGTGCATGATTTTAATATGTTTATTATTTTCAATTAGATACACAACTTCCACAGAATCATATACCAGTCTACTGATTTTCTAGCTAATCTGGTGTCCATGAGACGAGACTGTAAAATTCAAAAATGTGTCCCATTGAATCTAATATAGGTAACTTAAAGTTAATCATCTACTGTAAACCATTTTTGATATGTGAAGAATGGGTTTCCCAAGCTGAGTCATGGTTTCTTACAAGGTTTTTTCCTTATCCTCTATAATTATATTTCACCGTAACCATCGTTTTACTGGTAGTGTTAGAGTTCTATTTACAGGAAAAAAAGAAAATCTAGTTTCATCAAGACTATGTATGTGTGCAGTTTCACGCACAATGAAACTGCACACATCATCATAGATGATGTTTTCAACAGTGGCAGGACGATTTAATGTTAATAAAATTCACAATTCATTTCAGTTCATGTCTCAGAATGTGTAGCTGAGCTCTCGTGCCTCCGTTGGTAAAAAAAAATGAGCCAATCACCATCGAGTGTTCACTTTCAGCGCTGAGGAGTGTTGAGAAAAGAACCCTCGCAAGGGATGCTAGCCTCCTTCTGATATCAACCAAGCATCATAGAGACGTAAATTACCTGATATTATTTTGAACGTCTGCCGCTGCACTGATAATGCACCAAGTACTTATGATGAGTAGCGATATTGAATATTTGATCACCAACAGATTTACCAAGCTGTCTTTCAAACAGTATATATACAAATTTAGGGAAAACAGCCTAAGCTGGATACAGGCTACAGCAGTCGGCTTAATTAAATGGCGCAACAGGCAGCTCTCTTTTAACACAGACTTTTAAGAAGGGATAGATGTTTGCTTCAGGTGATAGGCCAGGTTAGTGAAATTATATTATCTTGCTGAATGTATGTCGTTTTCTTTACGTTTTCTGACTAAAAGCAACCAAAAAGCCATTTTAAAGTGGTTAAGCAAATAATTATAATAATCGGCAGGGATCCCAGACCAATACAATTAGTGTGCCTCCTCTATTTTAAAACTCAGGAGCCGCCACTGGTTTTCAACACCCTCACATGTTTGCTCAGTACAAAAATTGCACAGAATGGCTTCTGTACTGTGTGTTTGGAATGCGTTAACATGACAATGGTTCTTGTCTGATCAATGCCATAGCTGTCATTTTTCATGACATTTTTCATATTCTCTCCATTTTACTTCAGCCCCAAAACAGCAGGTTTAGTGACATACAGTTAGGCTTTTATTACTTGCTATTATCATTTTTTTAAGACAGATGGAAATAAGTTGTGAAATTGCAACAATAAGGAAACTCCCCTGCCTGCCAGTGGTTGGATATTCAGTACAGACTACAAAGACATAACATTAAATCAGTAAAACATGAAAGACAGTTGATAATAAACTGGATTATTTAAAAAAAACTTTTTAAAATTTAACAAAGACCAGCTATTTGACTTAAAATTTAATATACTGATCAGAAAACAAAACAGTGTTTTCTCAGCCTGCACTCACACAGTTTCAGTCTGCTAAAGTATTCACAAGAATTTAAGAGGGTTTCCTATACGGTCATTTTCTAGGTGTTCTTTAAGGAATGAGCGTATCTTCTCACTGAAAAGATTTGAATGGTAATCTCTGGAGTCTGCATCCGAGGTGAATTTCCTTGATTCCTTGCAGATGTCCTTCACTCCCCAGCTTATGATACCAACCTATTAAAGATTTTACAGATATCAAAAAAGTTCCTATTTCTCAGCTTCTCTCAAATTAGTCTTTAATTTCACCATGTAATATGTAACACATTACAGAGACTTTACAGCCACATCATCAATACTGTTTTAAAAAAAAAACGGAAATCTCACCTGAATCACTCGACCTTTTTTATTCACATAAGAGGCCCCACCTGAATCTCCTGTTATAAAATGCCATGCAGACACAAGAAACTATATGAGAATTGTATTAATTTTTCAGAATTGATTAAATTGTTATCAATTCGATTTTTATGACCTAAACAGTAGATTAGAACCAAATACAAGCTGCCGTCTTGATTGCAAAAATCAAACATACCTTTGCAGGCAACATCATCTGTTTTTGGTTCAATACCACCACTGCACAGAAAATTGTCTGTGACTGCTTCCCTGGCATTTTTCACCTCAATTCCTTTTGCTTTTATTGCATCTTCAACACAAGCATCTCGCTAGAGAAAAAGTACACCAAAAAGTGTTCTTATCTTGATGATGATGACTAAATTTTTTTTTTTTTTTAAATCATGAGAGATTCAAATAATATGTTTTCTGATGTTTTTAACATATTTAATGCTAAATGCCTAAATGAAACCCAAGTGCTAGAAAATGGTAGTGCAGGAATGATTGTGTTGATTAATGGCACTTTAAAGGCCCCATGAAATCAAAGTTAAAGTGATGTTGCTTTTAGTTGGTTTATATGGTTGAGTAATTCTAAATGTTGACAATTTGAGAATATTTTACTTTAAAATGCTATGAGGTCTGACATCTCAAATGAATAAACTGCCTCTGCATAAATAAACATAAATGAAGCTTTTCAAACTACACATAATTAGAAATGAGAAAAATCATTACATATTTTCCAAGCTTGAATGTGATGTTTTTTATTGTTTTCGGACTATTGTCTTTTTCACTATCCATATCAGATGTGAAAGCAGCTTCCACAAGCTCGTTGCTCATTAGTATTTCCTCTGTAACAAACGCATAAAGCAAAAACTGACATTTTATGTTTGATATGTTTCATTGCATAAAAGCAATGTCACATGTTTAATATGTATGTTTCATACGTTCTGATATGATTCTTATATGCATGCAGCATGTCTGACAGGGACCTTACCATGTTTTCTGCATGACCCATCACTTTCTGAAAGTTTCAGCGCTCCATTGGTTTCTTTGGTGCATGGGATGCAGATTGGTCTGTAGAGAATTACACATGATGTTATTTAATTAGTTTAGATTTTTTTTCTTCTTTTTTTCATATTCTTACTAAAGTAACATCACATGATGAAGATCTGTGCTCCTCACCGTAGATTAGAACTGATATCAACAGGTTTTTCCAGCTGTATAAGAGCTACATCAAATTCGTAAAATTCCTGTATTCCCATTTCCAGTTTTGCGATGAGGTTATAGTCAGGATGAATTACATATTTTTTTACTTTTACAACTGCAAAAGGAAATGTAAACATAATTTATAAGATTTACCCTGTAACACCTTTTTTTTTTTTTGGTCTGAAAATATGGACGTATCAGGACATACTCATATCTTTTTCCAGTTTAACTGTTATCTTATCAGCCATGTCTCCGTCTTTGAAGCAGTGAGCCGCTGTTAAGATGTAACTTGAGGTAACTAATGACCCCATGCAATTGGAACCTTTTGAAGGACGCTACATGAAGAGCAGAGAAGATGTTCATATAGCTCACGTGGTTCAACTCTTTAGCCATAACATGCATGTCTCTTCTTCTTGTGGGAGAAAATGTTCCTTTAACTTCAATGAGTGTTTCC